GGCCCAGTGCTGGTCCAGGGGGACAGGAAGCTCCACTCTCTTACCCCCTCCCCAGGTCAGGGCCACCCTTAGAACTGTATATGCGAGTCTCTGCAGAGCGCTCAGGATCAGTACCTTCTAGAGACACACTTCCAGGTCCGGTGAAAGAGACAATGGAAAATGTGGCACGTGACGTGTGATCAGACTCACACAATGAGACACACACAAATATCTGATATACGTGAGCACGTGTAGACAACCCACACACACACACAGGCATGCGCACGTCCTGTGTTGACACACGTACTGCGGGCATGCATCCATGTGTGCCTAGAAACACATTCACCATTTATGAGCAAAAGCATAAAAATCCCCCTTCCAACCACAGGGGCTTGAACATGCACCCGTATGTGTACATATGTGTACAGGTGTGCATGCAGGTACTGCAGACTCTGTACCTCCCACATCTTCCTTCCACACCAACACACCCACACAGGTATACGCAAGCAGGATACATGCACGGACATGTCCTCAGATACACCGGAGAAAGAGGAACATCCCAAATAACACGTGTGTCTGGCAGTGTGTCCCTGGGATGGAGTTTAAAGGAGGGTTTGGTAGAGGAAGTTGGAGTGGCCCCAGGGGCAGGAGTCTCTTCTGTCCTCCCTCCCATGGGCCTCAGGATTCCAGGTTCCACCCCAGTGGCTCCGCTTCAGGCAGGCAGAGCCGTGGGGCAGAGCCCAGAGCCCCTAGTGCGCTTCTCTGGGGTCCTAGTTAGAGATGAGGCCTGGGGGCTCCGAGACTGGCCCACCCCAGGCTGCTGTGCAGCTTCCATCATGCTCCTGCCTCCTGGCTTAGCATCCCTTTTGGCTCCTGATCCCAGCAACCTGGCAGGAAAAGATAAACACAAGTCCTGCGTCCACGCCCCTGTGGATCTCATAACAAGGCAATGGTTTCCAGGGCAGAGGCTGGATTTCAAGATTCGAGGGGGAGGAGCCGGGGATGGTATGTTTGCCAGGAGGGTCCAGTCCTGGAGTGTATTTCTCTGGTCGAGTCCTTATTAGCCTGCTCCCCGTTGGTGCCTGCAGCTGGGGACCCTGAGGCGTAGGGTGTGGCTCCCTTTCCACACCTTCCCCAGTTACAAAGCTGGACTACCGAGACTGTTAGCCATCCCAGCAGACTGAATGCTTCATAGAGGGCCTGGTAGGGCCAACTGGGGCCTGCCTGGCAGATAACAGGTCTGGCCTGACCCCTGATCTTCTGACCTGAGCATTCCTGGCAGAGGGGCTTGGAGAGGTGAGGTGACCAGTGAGGCCAGCAGCTGTCTTTGTCTCAGTGCAAAGGCTGATGTGACCTTGGGGTCAGGGCCCGTGTGGCACCTGTGAGCCCCACAGTTCACCACGCCTTCTAACGCATCCTCTCTGTGACCCAGCTCATGGGGTCCATCCATCCGCTCATTCTGTTGGTTCCACTCCCTCTCCAACGAGTCCCCTTTCCCTGGCATTCACTCCCACATTTTCATGGATTCATGGAGCACTTTCTAAAGCCAGCTGCCTCTTCAGCTGTAGGGATAGATGAACAGCTGAGACAGACAGCTCTCTGCTCTCCAAGGATGGGCTCCAACACATGCGCGAGGACCCGGGTGCAGAGGGTGAGGGCCAGTCCCAGGCAGGTGGGCCCAGGACTGCAGAGGACTGCCCCACCCCTTAAGCGCTGAAGTTTAGGAGACTGGGGAGTGGGTGGGACCTTCAGGACAAGAGCTGGAGGCAGGTGGGTATAAGGAGAGGGACTGGGCTGGAGGCGGAGGAGCGGGAGTCACCGGTGCGGGTCTGGGGGCGGGTGCCACCACGCAGAACGGCCTATGCGTAAAAGGGAAACCTGCCCAGCTCAGAGCCCTGGGGACCATGGTCAAGGGATGAGAGAAAACACAGTTACTCAGGAAGGTCACTGGGGAGAAGAAGGGGAGTCAAGAGGGTTGGGAGGAGGGGTGGTCCTCAGGGGCTCCTGCTGGAGGGCCACAGGGATGGTTCTGGAGAGCTCAAACCACAATTCCAGGGGACTGGAGCCTCTGGGCGATCTGGGAGCACGGGGAGCTGCCCAGACTTGGCTGGATTTGACTGTTGCCCCCAAGGGGCCCTGGGACCACAACCAAGACCCTGGGTTCCAGCCCTGTCTCTGCATACCTTGCTCTGTGACCTGGAGTCTGTCCCTGTCACTCCCCAGGCCTCAATTCCCCCACCTCGGGTCCCTGACTTTCGGGTTTGGGCTTGGCTGGGATTTGATTTCATGGGGTGATTGGCAGGGGGTACAGGAAGGCCTGTCCCACATCCTGCCCCCAGCCCAGCACCAGAGCAAATCAAGGGGCCAGGAAGCAGGGTCGGAGCCAGGGGAGGGGGAGCTGGGAGTGCGGGTGCCAGAGCCCCGGGGACTCAGTGGGAGGTCGGCCTCGCTAGCCCGCTGACATCAGGGCTGGTGAATGTGCAGGGAGTTCAGCAGGCTCCATCGCCCTCACCTCCCCCACAGTCTGGTACCGGGCAGGAGCTGAGCCCCAGGAAGGTGGGAGGAGGGGAGGAGGGGCCTTGAGGGGGTGGCCAGGAGGAGCCCCTGGGGCCTGGGGTGAGCAGCAGCCTCCCCCAAACTGGCAAGGAGCCAGCTCTTGGATGGCACTGGTCTTCAGTGCCTCCCTCCCCACTACAGAATCACCCCTTCCTCCCTTCCTCCCTCCTCCCCCAACCCTTTGCCCCTCTTCCTCCCCTCCTGGTTCTTCTCTCCTTGGCTCATCTCCAGCTATTGACTCAGTGGTCTGACTGCCGAGGGAGAGGAACCAAGGGGGATGGTCTGATTCTTGTACTGTCTGCCCAGAACCCACGGTGAGCCCCATCTCTGCCCTTGGCAGATAGAGCCCTCCCCAGGCCCCAAGCAGCCCCTCCCAGATGTTGTCATGTTGGATCCGGAGAGACCATATAACCTGTCTAAAGTGGGAGAGCGAGGCTGGATCCTGGGCAGCCAGTCTCTAGAATCTTATCTATCCCCCATTGGGGTCCCACCCTTGAGACCTGGCCAGCCTTCCTTCTCCTGGATGCTGCGAGAGAAGGCTGGACCCCGACCCACCCCCACCCTCATTTATGCTGTCCATCCAGGCACAGACTCCACTGCACATCAGCTATAGGACCAGGGACCCAGCTGTCCAGCCCCTCCCAGACTTTCCTGCCTGGTCCTTCCTCGGGTCCTGCAAAGGAAGAGGCTGGGCTCTTCTGGCTGAGACTGGGGTCCCTGCACTCCAGGCTCTGTGCTCAGATCCAGAGGGGCTCTGAGTGCTACTAGAGACAAGCTATAGCAGTTGCCTCTCTTCTAGTGTCTATCAAAGATTCTACCCGGAGAAAGAATACAGGGAGCAATTTGGCTCACCCTGTCCACATGGCTACTTGGAACACACACACATGCACACCATGCGTGCCTTTTGGCACTTGACTTTTTCATGAAATAATTGCTGGAAGGCTCCTTGGATTAGGTAACCCAGTGTTTCTTCCTGTCCCCATGGTGCGGGGGGGGGGGGGGGGAGTCAGCGTTTAGCATCTGTTGGGCTGATCCAGCTCCTTTGGGGCAGAGCAGTCCAGTCCAGGAGGTCTGTGGCCGCAAACATCTTTGGAAGTGTGATGGGAACAAGCCTTACAGACCTCTCATTCTTAGGCACCAGGGTTAGGCCTAGGAAGGAGAAGGCTAATCAGGAAAGATCTTTTTTTGCACAAACAAGCATGGGATGTTCCCATTTTTATTTTAACCCAATTTTACCACATACATGAGAACATACAGCATCTTTCAGCATCATTCTGAAGCAACAGCTGTTTTTACTCCTTGCTTTCTTGAGATGGTTGGGGGGTGGGGTATGGAAGGAACGAGTATCTGACTTCAGGCACGAAAGGAGTGTTGAGAGGGTGTCGAGATGGGAGCCCTAGGCTGTGGACAGAAGCTGGGGACTGAGGCTCTGATGGAGGGAGGGGGGTTCTTAGTCCCAGGGTCGTTGATCCTAGGGATTTGGAGATTCAGCCCTAAGCACACCCTCTCCTCTCTGTCTGACCTCAGCCACTCATGGATCCCCTAGCAGGGGCCTCTCTGTGAACCCCCAGGCCCTGTGACCATTGGCAGTAAGGATGAAAAGATCTTATATCCAGAGTGGGTTGGGAGGGGAGAAGGCACAAACGTAGAGTCAGGGAGGGACCTCACCACCTGTCTCCTTCTCACTTAGGTCTTATAACAGGTGCAAGAAATTACAGACAAAGGCCCCATAGGTGAGTATGTGTTTGTGAGGGCCGTGTGCATGGAATGGAGGGGACAGTAACAGGCCCAGGGTAAGGGTCGGGGGTCTGGAAATTATTGCTGAGGCTTTCAGGTCTCTCTGAGCAGAGTGTGGGCGTGTGTGTGTGTGTGTGTGTGCGCGCGCGCGTGCGTGTGCGTGTGTGTGTGTGTGTGGGCGTGTGGCTCGGGGGGTGGGGTGGGGATGTATCCACTCCCAGTAGGACTTGGACCTGTGCCTGAGAGTGAAGGCCCCGAGGGAACGCATAACCCAAGACAGCGGTCTCCAAAGTCAAGTCCAATTGGGGGTCGAGGCCTTCTTCAGGTGGTCCGCAGCCTCTGCCCCCGGCCGTACGCTGCTATTCCAGGGTCAATGCGGGGCTCGGCCTCCGCACTCCCCGGCTCGAAGCTCTTCTCCGCCGGCGCCGCGGAGGACCTCCCTCACCTCGAGGCATCTCGCGGGTCCACGGGGCCGGGGCGGGGAGGGGCGGGGGCGGGGCGGGGCGGGGGCGGTCCCTGGAGCCGCTGACCACGCCCCCGAGGCCCCGCCCACGCGCGGCGCCCAGTCCCGGGGCTCACTGGGCCCGCCCCGCCTTCCGCCCGCCCCTCCCACCGCCCCTCCGGAAAGAACCCAGCTCGCGGTGGCCAGTTGCGGTCTGGAGCTGCGGAGCTCGACTTCTCTCCGTGTCAGGCCCGATCTCCCTGACAAACAAGCGCCCGGCCCGGCCATGGACCCGGCCCCCGACGCCGAGGAGGCGCGCACAGTGCGCGAGGCGCTGGGCCGCTACGAGGCGGCGCTGGAGGGCGCGGTGCGCGCGCTGCACGAGGACATGCAGGGGTTGCAGCGCGGTGTGGAACAGCGCGTGGCCGAGGCGCTGCGCCTGGCGGGGCCGCTGGCGCGCACCGTGGCCGATCTGCAGCGCGACAACCAGCGGCTCCAAACGCAGCTCGAACGCTTGACGCGCCAGGTGGAGTCGCTGGGCTTGACGACCGGGCTGGCGCCCGCTCCCGGCACGCCCAGCCCTCCGCCCGCGCCCGGCGTCCGGGACCGCGCGCCCCGTCTGGGCACCGCGCGGTTCGCCAGCCACGCCACCTTCTCGCTGTCCGGCCGCAGCCAGGTGAGCCTCGGGGAGCGCGGGCGCCTGTTGGCGTGCGCCGGGGTAGAGGGGCTCCGCGACCCCGGCCGCCCCTAGGTCCCCAGTGCGTGCGCCTGCCGCTGCGACCCGGTCGTGGGGATCCGGCTACTGTCGGGGGAAGCACCGGTTTAGGCTGCCCGCCGCACCTGTCTCGGACCCCCTCCCTTCTTTGCAGCCGGGTCCCATTTTCCCCGAGCTCTGTCCCTCTGTCTCCACTGTCCTCTGGCACTCAGGCGCTGTAACACCAACCCCGGCCTGGCCGACGTGTTGGAATGGTCAGCAACACCCCCCCCCACCCCTTACTTCCCCACCTCCGTTGACTCCCCCTGTGATGCCACTTCACTGAGGCCTGACGGCTCGGGTTATTGATTAATCCAGGTGGAGAACTCCAGCGCGGGGTGAGTGTTAGGGGCAGGATGCAGTCTGTTCGGCGCTGCTGGGCACAGCCTTTGGGAGCTCACCGAGGGTGGGGAATCCTTACCGTGATGGGAAAGACGGGGTGGGGGTAAAGGCCAGGGGGACCAGTCCTGAGCAGTCTAGATTTCTGGGGTCAGTGACTGGCCAGCGACCCACACTGTGTAGGGGCAGGGCGGAGGCCGGTGTGGTCCAGTCACTGCCCTGAGCACCGGGCCTCCTGGAGTGGCTGGTTAAAATGTTCTCTGGTGTGCACAGTGGCCCTTGGGTGGGATTTTCCACCTTTCCCCGGCATGTGCTCCAGGGTTGGGTTTCCAGGGTCTGGGTCCTTTGCACCTGCTGTCCCTCTCGATTCAGTCCATCACTCATTCAGATCTCTTGTGTGGGCTGGACTGCACCTCAAGGGGCCAGGAAGGGGCGGGGGGGGCATCAGATTAACCTTTGCCCCTAGAGGTCCCAGCCAGGGTGGGAGATGGCCCCAGATGGAGCAGTCCCAACTGCTGGCAGCCAGAGCGGGTATTCTCATCCTAGGATTGTCTCATCCTAGCGGGTGTCCCAGATCGGCTTTGTATTGGAGGCCTGGGATCTGCTGTTGCAGGGGGTGGTGTGTGAGGCTGTACCGGCCACCTCAGAGAGGCTCAAAGGACTCAGTGGCCAGAGGGGAGCCTGATGGGGTATGAGAGTAGAGGGGTGAATTGAGAAGGCCCCCAGATGATGGGCCAGGGAGTTGGGCTTTGTCTTGGGGGGTGGGGTGAGACGTTCTTAAACATGCTGGTGACAGAACCCCTGAGTGTCCCAATGTCAAGGAACATGTGCGTGCGTGCGTGCTAAGTCACTTTAGTCATGTCCAACTCTTTGCAACCCTAGGGAACGTAGCCTGCCAGGCTCCTCTGTCCATGGGATTCTCCTGGCAAGAATACTGGAGTGGGTTGCCATGACCTCCTCCAGGGGATCTTCCTGACCCAGGGATGAAACCTGCGTCTCCTAAGTCTCCTGCATTGGCGGGCAGGCTCTTTACCATTAGCGCCACTTGGGAAGTCTGTCTGGAAATATGGATACACTTAATTCTGTCCTTTGAGCATGACCACTACTTGGCCAGGGTATAAAATCACCACTGTGAGATCACACGCACCTAATAAACTGTGTCATTGCCTGTTTCTGAGCTTTTATTTTAACACACATTTGCTACTTGTCTACTCACAGAAGCAACTGTCCAAGTTTCAGAAAAATACTCTTCAGAGTCATGTATGCATATGTACATGAATTCACACTCATATGTGAGAAGTCTCTCCAGTCATCTGTTTTAAGTGGGAATTGGTCTTCAGTCAACGTGGGGCTTCCCTGGTGGCTCAGATGGTAAAGAATCTACCTGCAATGCAGAGGAGACCTGGGTTCAATCCCTGGGTCAGGAAGATCCCCTGGAGAATGGAATGGTAACCCACTCCAATATTCTTGCCTGGAGAATCCTATAAACACAGGAACCTGGCGGGCTACAATGGGGTGGCAATGATTCAGACACAACTGAGCAGCTAACACTCACTTTCATGTGGGGTGAGCTAGTCCTCTTGGCTGTTGGGTGGTGGTGAGGGGCACTGGCCAGGGAAGGAACAGGCTCCTCCTTGTATCCAGCAAGCTCCCTCATGGATGGCCGCTGCCGGCAGGGTAACTTAAATGCGATGGTCCAAGGAGAGGATGGCCAAAGGTGGGTGGAGGGAGCACTAGGACTGCCTTGCAGTGATGTCTTGGAGGGGCAATCATCAGGGTGAGACGGTCTTTGGATGTGAGCAGGGAGGCAGGGAGTGCAGCCCTCCTGGGGGACTCTGGGGTCACAGATCTGTGGAGAGGCCAGTTTCCTTTGGGTTGTCCTGAGGGTGAGGGACATCCTGGCGAAGCTGATGCAGAGCAGGTGGAGTCACAGATCTGGTCGAGACCAGAGGTGAGGAAGACAACAGGGCAGGGCTGGTGGGTGAGACCCTAGAATGGGTGAGGTCTTCAGGGGAGCAGAGGGAGAAGGTGAGGCTGGAGCCCTCCACGAAGGTCAAGGAGCTGCCAGGGAGCACAGAGGTCCAGGAAAGCCCATTCTTAGACTTGGAGAGAAGGGGGGGCCTTCTGGAAGAGGGGTTGGGGGTCATCAGGGATGCCGCAGCCTCTTGGAGCCTCTTGGGTGGTTAGGATGAAGACACAGTTGGGGAGCAGGTTCTGGGCTTTAGAAAAGCCTGCAGTGGGTGGGGCAGCGGGCAGAGTTCAGCACCACGGGTGCAGGATGGTTGAGGTCTCCTGGTGGGTCAGAGGCTCCCTGGGTCCCGGGCAGCTTCCCCCTGCCCCAAGGCACTGGCCTCCACTTCTCTTGTGGCCCACCTTTCAGGTGCACCCACCCAGAATCCAAACCAGTTTCTCGCAGGGAGGAGCGCTATGTGGAGCCATCCACACATTGTCACACTCCGGTTCTGACCAGCAGCTTGTGATCAGGCGCTTGGTCATGAACAGGGTATCAGGGCTCTAGGACGAGACTGGATAGAGTCATAGCTGGGTGCCAGGACTGTCTGGCCTCTCAAACTTGTGTGTGTGTGTGTGTGTGTGTGTGTGTGTGTGTGTGTTGCTGGATGGGGGAGTCTAGGTGTGAGGGTCTTATCCACGCATGAAAGCCAGTGGTGGCAGTGGTCAGGCAGTGTGGGGGCTGGGCTGTCCACTGCCCCTCTGTGATAAGCAATGAGATTTAGAGACCCTTGGTTGAGACCCTTTCACTTCCTGCTCTTTCAAAGTAGGAACCGTCAGGATTGGAGGAGGGTTGAATTCAGCATGTACATATGCTCTGAACTCAATGCAGAGTTGATTTAGTAATCCACTTCTGAGTGCACAAACCTTGACCCTGCTAGGTAGTGAGCAGCCTGGGAGGCGGAGGGAGAGGGCAGGGCAGTAGAGTGGGAGTAATCGGGGAGGACTCCCTGTAGGAGGCCTGAGACCCTGCAGCAAACAGGAGCTGCTTAGGGCTCATTTGCTGTGAGGCCGTGGGGACATCTCTCAGCTGGACCCCAGGTCCCTTGTATCTCAGGAGGACTGGCCCAGCCCTGTTTGGGCCCTGAGCCGAGCTGGCTGAGTAGTTATGACAGTGACGTCCACCCGGTGGGTTCATAAGAGTGTCCACAGAGTCACAGTTGTGATCTGGCCAGTGGAGGGAGCTGGCTGGGGGCAGCCTGAGGCCAGGCCAGGCCCAGCCCAGGAGGCTGTGCCAGAGTTGGTCCCTGGAAATGTCCTCAGCTGAGCCGGAGCCACCAGGTCCCCATGTCAGAAGGCAGTGGAGGCCCTCCGAAGTGGCTGCCAGGAGCAGCGTCGAGGTCGGACGTGAAAGAAACCAGACTTGCCTTATCTGCCTTCCTTTCCCAGACACACTGTGTGATAAGAGAGTTAAATGCTTTGGGGAGAAGTTTGAATTGAGTCTTTAAAACCGGTGGTGTGAGTGAGTGAGGAGGAAGGAGGAAGAGGCTGGGGTGGCCGAGTTAGGGGCTCAGGATGGGGGTTGTGCTGGGCGTGCTGACGTGCGCCCCTGTCCACACGCACGAGCCCACGTGGGGTCAGGCAGCCCCAAGGATGCCTGCACTATTATTCCTGCCCTCTCAACAGTGTTTAAAAACTTCCCCAGGAAGTGTCTCTGACTTACCTCCCCTCCCCCCACCCCTCCCTCTCTGCCTTCCGCCTCTCTCCCTAACATTCCCGGGCCTGGACTCCCTGACCGGGAGCCTCCCCCTTGCTCAGACGAAGCCCAGGTCTTGGGGGTGTGACAGCGGCTCCCTAGGACCCATTTGGCCCCCAGGGCTCTCCAGTGACTTGACTTCTACCCTAGCCCCAGCACGCAGGGGGCCCCGTCCCCAGTCCCTTCTCTGGTGAAACAGGCTGCCCGCACCAAAGGAAAACCACTGCGGGGGTATGCTTGGGGCCCATGGGTGGGCTTGGGGACTCAGATCCTGCTGGGGCAGTTACCCCACCCTCCCCCTCGTCTGTGAGATGGCTGGGGCTTGGCTGCACAAATTTGTCTCGAGTGGTCCTTCCTGCTCCTGGAAAGCATGAGCGCTTTGTGGACAGAGCCCGTGGTTGGGGTAGGACACCCCCAACCTTGACTCTGCTGCTGCCTTTAGTCATGGGGTGAGGTTAGGGGTGAGTCCAACCCCCAAGCTTCTGTGATGATGAGTTGGAGGGTGGCCTCTGAGGAGCCCCTTGACTGAGGTGTGGGCTGAGCCCTTCCCTTGGACGAGCAGTGATTCCCATCTCAGGCATGGGGTAGTGAGGGGCAGCAGGAGCCTGGGAGTCTGGCCTCACAGCATGAGTCAGTCCAGCCCTTTTCCTCTTGCTTTGCTGGAGACCCCTTGATGGGGATTCAGAACCTGCCTCCTGTCTGATGGTGGTGTCTGTTCCCCTGGGCCATGATGGGGAGCACGGGGCCTGCACCATGCAGGTGTCTGTGGGGCCCCACAGATCCACATTCCTGAGAAAATGGTTTCAACATCAGCTGGGCCCTCCAGGCCCCTGCCTAGACCTGCAGAACCTGTAGGACCAGGGTAGGGGGTGTGTGGGGGGGACAGGGAGCCCCCAGAGCTGAGCACCCTGGTGACAGGTGGGGCTGGAGTTCAGGATGGACTGGATGTTTCTCCTCCATCTGCTGAGTTGACTTCAGGTTAGGCTCTAGGGGTGTCCCCCCCACCCTGAAGTGCCAGGAGATACCCCTCTTCTCCACTGTTTATACGAGTGTTTGGGGACCCTCTCTCTCCATCCTTCTGAATTGGAAGTTGGAGGGGGTCACCTCCTCTCCAAACTCAGGCTCGAGTCCTGTGCTCTCCCACTTCCCCAGGGCCCCCACCCCACAGAGGGTCCCATCACCCTGCTAGAGTCTTTCTCTTAACCTCTAAACATCGTCCCCCTCTTACACCTGGGTGAGCCCTTCAAACCTCTTCTCCCGCCCCCACCCCCCCATGGTTGCAGTTCCTGTGTCTCCATCTCAACCCGAGGCTGTCTCCTGCCTTCATCTCCACCTCTGATTCAGCTCCTAAACTGTCACCCAGCACCTCTTTGGGGGCTAACCCCAATGGACCTTTTTAGATCTTGCCTTGATCTTCTTTTCCTTGACCTGGGGCCACCTTGGGAGCTGCTGACCACCAGCCTTCTCGTTATACCTCCACCTGCCTTTCTGAGTGTTCTTTTGGTTTTCTTCCTCCTCCCTCTGGCTGCTGCTCCTTATTCTCTTCTGCAGATGCCTCTTCTGCCCCCAAACATGGTGCCCATCCCAGGCTTCTTCAGCCACGAGCCAGCTCTTCTGCTGGGCTCTGGACGTGAGACACCTGCTTCTCTATTGTTTATCCATCCTCCCTCTGAAACTTCAGACTCAAATATCCAGCTACTTCGTGACTTCGACTCCCTGATGCCTCAGGGGCTCCTTACACTCATGGCCCAAATTGAAATCCTTATTTTCCCACCAGTCCCCGCTTCTCTTTCCATAGTCACATCCCCCAGGCCCAAAGCCCAGGCTTGGAAGACGTGTGACTCCCCCCTGCCTCCATATCCACTTACTCTCCCCAAACCGCTGAGTCCTTTTTGTCCTCCACTCTTTCACTGCCCCATCTCTGCTTCCCAGATCCCCACCTGAGACTAGGGAGGTGACTGGCCATCTGATCACCCGTTTCCATGCCACTGTCTCATTGGTTTCTGAAGGATGTTTCTAAAACAGAGCCGACAGCCTTCAGCTCCTTCTTGTCTAAGGAGTCAGGTCCAAGCTCTCCAGGATGGCACCTCGAGCCACTTAGTGCTTCCCCGCCCACCAGATCAGAACACTTTGTGCCTTGACGTCTGTGTGCTTTGGCAGGTATCAGTCGCTCTGCTGGGAATGGCTTCCATCCTGGTCCACCTGGCTTACTCTAGACGGCCTCAGCCACCCCTGCCTCCCTGACCTGCTGGGCTGGATGAAGTCTGTCCTAGGCACGCACCCTCATGCTGGATTGACGTCATCTGCTCACAGTCCTGGCTCCCACACCACACTGATCCCCTCATGGCAGGGTGAATACCTCTTGCACTGGTTACAGTCATGGCTGAGCCACTGGGGGCCAGGGATGGGCCATTGTCACCTGGGAACCTGGTAGACAAGGGGGCCAGTCTGGAGGTGTCTAAGAAGCGTTACGGCCAACATCTCAAGCCGCTCATCGTGGGCTCTGAGTAGAGCCCCTGATCGGGGTCTTTCTCTGTGTCCCTCCCTTGCCAGGCAGACCCCATCAGGCTCATAGATACTCTGAGCTCTCCAACCTCCCTCCATGTAAGAACGGCAGGGCCAAGGTTGAAGAGAACCTCTGTCCTGACCACGAATCTTAGCTGTTTCTCACTGGGTAACCTTGGACAGTGCGTGTCCTTTTTCTGAGCCCTCAGGTCCCATCTGTAAAATGGGTGTGCTAGCACCGACCTGGGACAACAGAAGCAAAGTGGTATAAATGGCATGTGCAGGAAAAGGGCCTGATGGCCTGGAAGGTGCCAAAATGATGAAGGTTTGCATAGCCTACCCCTCATCTCCAGCAGGGAAACTGACCCAGAGGGGGCACAACCATCTGACCTGGGTCACTTGGCTCTTTGTCTTGGCTCTCTCTCTCCACATGACACCCCCAATTCCTGCATCCCAGAGGGGATGGAGGGGTTGATGGAACCAGTAAGGCCTCTGTACTCTGGACATCCAGGCAAATCTTGTGACACCGCAGCCAATGGAAAGGCCTCAGCCTGAGGGCTTCAGGGCCGATAGTTGGCCCAGAAGGACCTTACTTAGGTCGCTGGGTTTGGGCTCCCGACACAGCCCCTGGGATGAACAGTAGCCACGCTCTCCTGACCCCAGTCATCTCGTCCAGCCTAGGCAAAGGGGTTGGGCACCTTGCATATTCCTTCAGAGTCCCAGCCTCTTTTTTTTTTTTTTTAAAGATGTATTTATTTTTGGCTGTACTGGGTCTTGGTTGCTGTGCACGGGCTTCTCCTCTTGTGGCGAGCAAGGGCTACTGTCTAGTTGCAATGTGTGGGCTTCCATTGCAGTGGTTTCTCTTGTTGCAACAAGCTCTGGGGGCTTCAGCAGTTACGGCTCCAGAGCATGGGGCTGAATAGTGTGGTGTAATGGGTTTAGCTGCTCCACAGCACATGGAATCTCCCTGGACCAGGGATTGAACCCGTGTTCTGTATTGGCAGGTGGATTCCTTACCACTGAGCCACCAGGGAAGCCCTGAAACTCCCAGTCATGATCTTTGCTCTAGCATTTTGGTGGTCTGGGATGAGCCCAGTGGAGGCTTTTGCCTCCAGGATCCTGGGGGTTCAGTTGGTGAGGCTGAGTCCACATCAGCTTCTTATATGAACGGGGCCCATCACTGAACACCCTCCCCACCCCAGAACTGTCTCTCTCAAAATGTTTGTCCTGCCAGAATCAGGGAGGGTCTCTGGCAATTATTTTGGGGGAGGGGCAGCCGGCCCCAGCTGATTGGGTCTTGACGGGGTTTGTCTCTCCATAGAGCGTGGATCACCATGACGAGGCCAGCGAGTTGGAGATGAGAAGGACCTCAAACTCGTGCATCATTGAGAACGGGCACCAGCCTGGGGCAGGTAGGGGCTGACGGCAGAGGAGGGCAAGCTAGGTAGCTTCATGGTCAGGGCCTCAGCTGTGCCTCTATGCCAGGCCAGCTCTTGCCTGGAACAGAGAACATGGGCCTGAACCCCAGTGGGTGGAGAGGCTGACAGGAGCAGCCTCATTCAGTGCAAAGTAGAGCTTTGAAAACACGGGAGAAAATGAGAGATCTTGGAAGGTGGTGAGCTTCCTCGTTTCTGGAGGAAAGCAAGCAGGGGCTGAGGAATCATCCAACTGCTGAACAGGGTAGAAAGAGAGGCAACTATGTATTGAACTGTCTGTTCAATAAACAGGCAGTTTACTGAAAGATGAAGCAGCTGCCAACTCTGGTCAGAGCAGCAGGGAGTGATCAGGGAGGCCTTCCTGGAGGAGGTGGGAAGAGGGTTGCCAGAGACTGGAGTCCTCCTGGGAGGGTCTGAAGCCCCTGTGGAGGCCACAGCTGACACCTCCACCCCTGCTGGTCATGTGTTCCAGATCCAGGTGACAGACCCCCCGAGACCACTCAAACCATCCCAGCGCCAGAGCCCCCCAAGCCTCGCCCTGTGAGCCTCTCCTTGCGGCTGCCTCACCAGCCAGTCACAGCCATCACGCGGGTCTCCGAGAGGTTCTCTGGGGAGACCTCAGCCACAGCTCTGTCGCCGACGTCTGCTGCCATCCTGGGGGGCCTCAGCTCGAGCCCCAACGAGGCTACCACCGCCTGGACTCCCAGTCCCAGTGGTAGGAGCAGGAGGGCGTGCTCAGCCTTAGAGTGGGAAGGAGGGCAGGGGCTGGGGCGGTGGTGGGTGGGGGGCGTTGGGAAGAGACTCAGAAAACCTGGGCCAAGCCCCAGCCTCCCGGACCTGTCACTGTGACCAGTTTCCATAACTCTTCCGCTCCATCATATGGGGCCCCTCCTTCCCAACTCCTCCGCTAGAGATGCTGTGAAGTAGCATCAACCCTATAGGATACCACTATGGCTTTCCCTACAGGTCAAGGCTGTGGCTGGAAGATGGCTTCTCACCCCACACACTTTGGCGTAGTCCCCAGAGCCTGTCTGGGGCCTGGGGTCAGGCCTCAGTGGCAAGTCCTGGGGTTGGGCTGTGTAGGTTTCCAGAATGAAGACTCGGGAACAAAGTGTTTTATGGGCATGCAGCCCAAGAGGCCCTGGGCTCTGTACTCTCAAAAGCAGGAGGGGACGCTGTAAAAGGCCTCTTTTATGTCACTGCTCTATGTCCCCAGCATCCTTTCTCCTCAACTGCTGGCCGAGCCAGGGCCGGCTTAGTCCAGGGATCCCACCCATGCCCTGGAGTGACGCTGGGTAAAGGGCACAGGGCCAGGTCAGCGGAAGGGAGGCAGGCAGTGGTGCCCCCCACGCCCTACACCCTGAGGCCAGGGTTTGCTATTTATCTCTCTTGCCTTGTCCCTCAGAGAAGAATTCTTCCCTCCCACGGTCTCTGTCCAGCTCTGGCTTCGGGGCAATGACGGCCAGCAGGACCAATGACAGGTGAGTCTGAGTCAGGGCCCCAGTCCCGGGTGGGAAGGGGTCGTCCCTCCCCAGGAAGCCTCTGGGCTTTGCCTTGGACCCAGGCTGCCTGGGCCCCTGCAGGGAGCTCTGTGGGCTGACCTCGAGGGAAATGAGGCAGTGAGGCTAGGAGGTAGAGGGTTTTATGGCCGCAGACTGGTTTCACTTAGGACCCTTGAAAGCAAGTCTGCGCACAGACTGAAGGGGTGTCTCAGTCCACCCAGGGAGATGGAGCGTGGGACCATCTGCTTTCCTCTTTGTCCATCCTGGCTGGGCCCCTCCCCGCCAGCCGGGTGCTTCCTGTCCCTGGCCAAGGAGGTCCCTGGAGGGACCCCCAGGCTGGGGCAGGTCTGCCGCCTCCTGGCCTTCAGTGGTCCCCAGACTCCCCCAGGCCCACTGGATTGTGATCAGAGCTGGGGACGGGGCTGGCTTGACCTCCCCTGCCCCCCACCTCCTTTTAATAATAAAAGGAGAATTGTGACTTTCTGGCAAACTGTTCTGGGGGAAACAAAGGGGAGCTTTTTTAGTGGTGGCATGCAGGGGGCCTGGCCCTGGGGGTGGGTGGTTCTGGGTTCACGTCCCACAAGGAGGATGCCCCCCCAACCCAGACACTGACACCTGCCAAGGGGTGATTACTTGCAGAGACGGGGGCCCACAGCCTGGCTGGCCTGCCTCGGAGAACAGCTAAGCTCAGAAAACCTGTAGAACCGGTTGGGGACTAGAGCCAGTGATGTTTCCTCTCTCCCTGGAGCCCAGCTGCTGCCTCATTTCACACTCACTAGGGCAGGGGACCCGGGTGGGGGACCAGGGGGCCTCCTGTGAGCTAGCGACGGGCGGGTCTGTGTTCCTGACTCAGTGGTTCTCTCCCTCCCTGACTCAGCCCTCCGCTGGTGACGCCACCCCAGTCACCGCCATCCCCGCAGCCGCCAGCCACGACTCAGGCCCGTCGCCGGGAGCTGGTGAGGTCACAGACGCTGCCCCGCACCTCAGGAGCGCAGGCCCGGAAGGCGTTGTTTGAGAAATGGGAGCAGGATACAGCCAGCAAGTACGGATGCTCTCCAGATCAGTCAGGGCCCCCAGAGGAGGCCAGGACTCAGACCAGGGTCGGGCAGGCACAGCGCAGCAAAGCTGGCTCTTTCTGTTCCCCAGTATGTGACCTCTTGGGCAAAACACAAGGTCAGGGCTGACTATGGGGTGGGGTGGGCTGAGGGGTAGACAGCCCCAATGGTGGGAGGAGAGGAGGGGGCAGGCGGGCCAGGCAAGGCCTGGTGAGAGCCCAGCCCCTCTCCCTGCATTCCAGAGGGGCCCCTGGCCACCCTCACACCCACATTCCTCACTCAACTGGAGAAGTTGGTTTCAGGGCGTGACAGGGGAGACCAGAGGGCAGTCCCTGGGGTTCCCAGTAGGAGCTGGGAGGTGACACAGCGAGACCCAAGGGCCCACCAGCCCCTTGTCACACCCCAACCCCACCCTCTTAGAGATCGAGTCCAACTTTGCACATATATCCAGGCTTCCTTCCTCTGGTGATGTTAACGCCTACTGCTTGTAGGGTAGGCCCAGGCCTATGTGATGATAACCCCACCCCGAGTCCCAGCTGCCTCTAGTGAGGGGGACAGACCCAGGAAGTGTCCCGCTGACCCTGGCAACCTGATCTTGGCCATCAAGGAGTGTCCATAGGACCCAAAGGAGAAAACCATCCCTCTGGGCTAGGAAAGAGCCGTCAGGGAGGGCAGCCCAAGAGGGAGGCTCAGAGGAGGGTGGGATGAAGGGCAGTAGAGAGGGTGTTCCAGGCAGAGCGGAGGAGCACGGGCCAGGTGGGCTCAGGCCCTCTGCCCCCGGATCACCAGTGTGGCGAGTAAAGAGGCAGCCCAGAGGCTAGAAACAGGGCTGATTCGGCAGACCCCATCAAGGCAGGCTCTGCTCTGGGATGCGCGGCTCCTGCCTGGACATGGGTGTGGGGTCGGGAGGTTGTGTGGTACCTGAGTGAGCAGGTGGGGCATGGTCTCCAAGGAGATGGCAGCTGAGGGGCAGCCCCCCACCCTGGCCCCTCAGCCCACACCCAGCAGGCCTGCCCTCTGTCCGCAGGGGGAAGGGCGAGACCCGGGCGAAGCTGAAGCGCTCGCAGAGCTTCGGCGTGGCCAGCGCCAGCAGCATCAAGCAGATCCTGCTCGAGTGGTGCCGCAGCAAAACGCTCGGCTACCAGGTGAGCCCGGCCGGGCCGCTGGGACCCTGGCCAGAGGCTGGTGCGGGCATCGCCCCTGGCTGTCGTTCCAGGAACCCCAGGCTGGGGTGGAGGGCTAGGAGCTGGAGAAACCGTGCCCTCCCGATGGGTCCCCAGCGGGCAGTCCAGCAAGCACGGGCACTTGTTACTGAGCTGTGTGGATGGTGGCCTGGGGAGTGGCTGGGAGGACCATGGGGTCGAGTCGGGTGAGGGAGCTGAGGCCGGTGCCGTACCCACCCCAGCTCATCCCCCCCCTGCCTTGGCCTCGCAGCACGTGGACCTGCAGAACTTCTCCTCCAGCTGGAGTGACGGGATGGCCTTCTGCGCCCTAGTGCATTCCTTCTTCCCTGACGCCTTCGACTACAACGCGCTGAGCCCCACACAGCGGCGACAGAACTTCGAGCTGGCCTTCACCATGGCCGAGTGAGTCTGGGGGGTCCGGAGGCGTGGTTGCTTGGGCCAGCCCCAGCTGCCGAACAGCAGGAAATTGAGTAATATCTGCCTGGGGGACATTTCAGACTTCTCTAGTGGGTCCATTTTGCTCCCCTAAATGTCATCAAAAGCGTTGATTATAAAATTGCCTACCTTCTTAAGAGGCACTCATAGAGAGAGGAAGGGCTTCCCTGGTGACTGAGATGGTAAAGAATCTGCCTGCAGAGGAGACCTGGACTTGATCCCTGGGTCGGGAGGATCCCCTGGAGAAGGGAATGGCAGCCCACTTCAGTATTCTTGCCTGGAGAATTCCATGGACAGAGGAGCCTGGTGGGCTACAGTCCATGGGGTTGCAAAAGAGTTGGACACGACTGAGCAACTTTCACATAGGGAGAGGAGGGGGTGAGTGGTGATTCTGGGGTCAGGAGGTGCTGGGGAGCTTGGGATTTGGTTATAGGCTGAGGGCTACCCCAGGGCATCAGGAGAGTGGCAAAGAGGGGTGTATCAGTCAGGGCTCCGGTGGGGGGTCGGGGGTGTGAGTTCAAATTGAGTAGGCAGGAGAGTTTAGCAAAAGGATTCCTTGTAAATGAGTGGGCTGGGGTGAGGGAAGGAGCCAGGTTTCCTGCGATACCCTCAGGCTGGGGAGATCAGCTCTTCCCAGAGGACTGGCTGATAGAGCCGTGCTTTGGGGCAGTGGGTGGGTGCGACCAGCTCACAGTGACCGGGCAGGAAGGGTTAGGGAATAAATACCCTGCCTTCCCCCTCCTCCTGCCCTCACACCAGGGCCTCCTGTGCGTTGAACACAGAGGCAGAGGGCGGGGGAGCTGTTGCCGCAATCCATCGGGTCCTCCATCCCCATCCAGGGCAGGCAGGTGGGGGGGCAGCACAGGGAGGGTAGAGATGAGGGTATTGAGGGCTGCCTGAGGCTGGGCATTAAGGAGAGGAGGGTTGGAGGGCAGGAAGGCCTCCCTGGAGCCCGGGTTTCCTGGAGGGAACATTTATCCTTCTCTCCTACCCACCCACCCTCCTTTGTGCCTGGTGGGGTGAGCCTCTGCCATCCGGATGTGCCTGGCCCCTTCCGTGTCTTGTCTGCAGCCCTGGTGCCCATGTCCAGGAGGTGCCCTCCCCACTGCCTTGCCTGCCCCCCTCAATCTGGTCCAGCCCCCACGCCCTGGCCCCGAGCCTGGCTGGGGAAGGAGTTGGAGCTCACAGGTTACATCCCGGTACCAAGGGTCTCGCCCTGGGGGACAGATCGGAGAACCTGAGTCTGATCTCTCTGCCCGCTGGTGTTGCCCCGTTGTGTTATCCCAGATGACGTGTGTGTCCCCTCGGCCCCCTTTGGGGTCACAAGAACCCCTTGTATACTTTGAAAGTCATTCCTTTCTTGGCTGCTTGGGATTAGCTGTCATCCTAATTGCAGAAACAGCTCTGAACGGAGTGTGTTACACAACCGAGCCCAGACGATGCTGAAGGAAAGCCAAGTGTAACAGCTCCATGCTGGGAAGGGGGCGTCTCCCCAGGAGGAGATCCAGCTGTTTGCAAGCCTAGGAAGGGTGGCTGTCAAAACAGCACATGGTCAGAGGGTGCAGGGCCTGGAGCTCTGATGTGGGCACCCCAAGACCCACCTGCGCTGGGTGAGGCTACCCTTGGCTGACCCATCAAGTCCAGTGGGCCAGGCCATGCCAGCTCATGCCCTGGCTGCCTTGGTCACCCTCAGCCCTGGACCAGGCTGGGCTGTGGCAGGAAAGAGGGGGGGCCCTGGGATGGTGTCCCTGCACCCCAGCTCAAAGGGAACATAGCTTCCCTTGGCAGCTGGAGCCAGAAAGATTCGTGGCTCAGTGCGAGGTTTGAGCTCACAGCGCCTGCAGACTCCAACCAGATGTTTCTTCTATTCCCAAATCAACGGGGGGAGTGGGGGAAGCCTACTCCAGGATTTGCCTCTCTACTACCCAGAGCAAACAACAAGGTAAAAATTGGCCTTGCCTCCCTGTGGCCTGAGCCTGCTTCTGGCTGGCTGGGGAGTGGAGGATGGTCTGTGGGCCCCTGAGATGAGCTCTTGCTTTTCTGCTGACTCGAGATGTATGGGAGGGGCGCCTCCAGCAGGCCTGAGTGGAGGAAGGTGCCTCCCCCCGTGAGTCATCTGAGAGGTACCTCCCAGGTGCCTGGGGGAGCAGGCTGGGGGGTGGGCCTGCCCGCCCGCCCAAGGCCTCCTGGGAGGATGGCAGCTTGGCTCACCTAGTTTCCTGGACAATCAGCTAGTTAGAAAAGCTGGAAAAGGGGACTTCCCTGGTGGTCCAGAGGTTAAGAATCCGCCTGCCAGTGTAGGGGACAGAGGTTCAATCCTTGGTCCGGGAAGATTCCACATTCTGCGGAGCAACTAAGCCCGTGGACCACAACTACTGAGTCTGCACTCTCGAGCCCACCAGCCACAATTACTAAAGCCCACGGAGGCTACAGCTACTGAAGTTCAGGCGCCTAGAGCCTGTGCCCCGCAGCGAGAGAAGCCACACGGTGGGACACCCGTGCACCACAGCTAGAGGGTCACCCCACTCGCTGCAGCTACGGAAAGCCCACACAGCAGTGAAGACCCAGCACAGCCATAAATAAATTTTTCAGCTGGGAAAAAATAAACTAAAAAAATAATAATGATTCAAAAGAAAAAAGCTGAAAAGAAAACACAGGGAGACCTCCAGGAGAATACTGACTCTCAGCATCTTAACAGACACTGGGGTTAGACCGCAGAATCCAAGCAGACACACAGGGCTATGAGAAGCCATCAGAGATCACGGGAGCAGCAGGACGGACCTGAGACAGGCAGTCTGCGGCGGGCACTGTGCGGTGGCCGCAGGAGGGAAAGCGGCAGGGGCAGGGCTCCCTGACATCAGGAAGGAGACGTTTCCAGACCCTCCAGTGAGCAAGGGGTCTTAAAAGCACACACCTCTAGAACCTGGGGAGTGAGAGGGGTTTGTGTGCCCCTCTCCCAGTAATTTGCCTCCCCGGAGATTCCCGGGGCTTAATCTGTGTGAGTGATGCAGTGCTGACAACTCAGTGAGCTCCCCTTATTGGACAGGTGCTCAGGGCTTGGAAAGTGGGAGGACCGGCCCACATTATGGGTGTGTGACCCTCCGCGCTTTTCTCCCCATATCTCCAGGCGTTGTGCAGGCCCAGCCCGGGGCCTATGCCTGAAGCTCCCCCTTGCCCTGCGGAGAATGTGTCCTGCTCTCAGGTTACGGCCCAGCTGAGGAGCTTCCAGGCTATTTGTAGTGCCCATGTGTCTGAAAAACCAGATAGGGGCTGTAGTCAAGCCCTGGCATCCCAGGCTGCATTTAGAAAAGGCTTAAACAAATAAAAATAGCCCCTCACACACCTCCTCCATTTCCCTGACAGCCCTGTAGGTACTGAAGATCACAATAGAAAGTAATAGGAGAAAACCCTCTGACCCTTTCTTAGCCCCAAATAAGGTGGGGCTGAGTAAATCTGTCTAAAATTGGTAGTAGGCAGAGGGTAACCCTGGTTCTTACTGTGCAGTGACATTTGAAATGATCTGTACTTTCTCCTTGGGACTACTATTCCACGCTGCTCCAACTGTTTAAAACAAGCTTGTATTATTTTCACAAAAGCAGTTATGTTTTCACTTAAAAGGCAATCAGGGCCCCTAATATTTTGAGACTGTAATGTTTTTATAAAAGTCAGTGTGCATCATTGTTTTCCTTTACTCACATCCCGTCCCAAGGAGCTATGTCCACAGCTAGAATAGGAATCTTGTCGTTACTGTCACGGCTGGTGGGGTGGGGACAAGATGGATGTGGCTCAGTCCCCTGGTTCTTTGCTGGGGAAGCCAGCATTTGCCCATGGCTTTCTGTCTCGGGGGTAGAGGGTGATGCCAGGTTCAGGCCTTAGTGCCCATCCTGAGGGCCACCCTGGGCAGGGCAGGCCCAGCACAGCCTCTAGAATGAAGCACAGGTTGGACAAAACTCAGAACATGCCAACGATTCTGGGTGCTCTTCCATGAAGAGGGCTAGAGAGAAACCAGAACCACCAGCTCAGGGCAGAGGTCCCGGGTACCCACTGTGGACACAGTGAAGGAAGCAGACACGTTTAGTTGTTGGGAAAGATGTGAATATTAAGATTCTCTCCTGGGACTGTCCTGGTGATCCAGTGGCTAAGAGTTCATCTTTCAATGTGGGGACATGGTTTTGATCCCTATTTGGGGAACTGGAATCCCATGTGCCGCAGGGCAAGTAAGCGTAGCGCTGCAACTGAAGAAAGTCCGCAAGCTGCAGTGAAGACCCAGAGCAACCAAAAAAAAGAAAAAAGATTTTCTTCCAAAATGAGAAGGGCTCTCTTGTGGGTAGAAAAGTTAGACTGAGAATAACCTTGTGGGGACAATAGGTAGAAAGAATCAAGAGGCAAAATAGCGTAAGAAATGTAGGAGGAACTTCCTCATGGTCAGAGCCACCTGCATGGCGATTGGAAACATCCTTGAAGGAAGTTAGGGCCCCTTCCCTGGACCTGGAGGTGAGCACAGCCGAGGCAGGGCCTCCACCAGGGGGTTGTTGTTTGGAGGCTGGGATTTCAGTTCTCTTCCAAGGTCGAGGTTTAGGGTTTGAATGGTGCCCACATTTCCTGGAGGGACTGACTACTGAGGTCACTGCTGTCAGAGGTGATACCTGGGCACACTTGGCATCCTCTGACTGCAGCCCTGGGAGGCAGTGGGAGAGAGAGAATCTCTCCTTGTGCTGTAGGTGAGGAAAAGGCATCAGATGCTACCTGATAGCTCAGGGAGGTGGACTCAGGTTGAAGGCCTCCCCAGGAACTCAGATTTTCAAGAGAGCACCTTTGCATGCACACTCTTGTCAGAGTGCCAACCCCATTGACATTGAGCCCCGCCCTGACCGGTCCTGGAGAGCAAGGGTGCCCACTCATTGGTCCAGAAGCACTTGCCACCCCATGAACCCATCAGATTTCTTTACTAGTTGCTCACTCCAAACCCAGGGGGAGGCAGCAGTGGGATCCAGAAGAGGTGTCTCTGTTTCACCCTGATGTTTTATTTCTGATCTGAGGCCTGGTGTCAGGCCAGCACCACAGAACAGCCTGTGCTGATATTACACAGTTTTTCTTTGGAGCAAGCAAGCCGGGGAGCCAGTAGGGACTGGTAGGAAGCGCTCGGGGTACTGGGCGTGAACAAGCCCGCCTGGAAGGGGAGCGGCGGTGGGAAGCTGATTTCTACCCCGCCCCCGGGAATTGGCACAGAAGGGTGGAGCAATGGGCAGAGCCAGAGCTGAACCCAGCTCTGTAGTGTTCCAGCTCAGGCCACTTTCACCTGATGACCGGCTCTGATGTTCAGAGAGAACCATGGTGATAGGAACAGCAACAGTGATCGCCACTCACAGTCACTGAGCTCTCCATGCCAGACGCCACTCCAGCTGGTTTGCGTGATTCACTCATTCATCCCTTCCACCGCCCTGTGAAGTGGCTGTTATTCCACATGGGGAAACTAAGGCCCCAAGAAGTTGTGTCCTGCTCAAATCATGTAGCTAGGAAGGGTGCAGCTGGAGTGTGAATGCTGACACTAGCATCAGTTCAGTTCAGTCACTCCATCATGTCTGACTCTTGCGACACCATGGACTTCAGCACGCCAAGCTTCCCTGTCCTTCCCCAACTCCCGGAGCTTGCACAAACTCTTTCCCACTGAGTCACTGATGCCATCAACCATCTCATGCTCTGTCATCCCCTTCTCCTCCCACCTTCAATCTTTCCCAGCATCAGGGTCTTTTCTAATGAGTCAGTTCTTCGAATCAGGTGGCCAAAGTATTGGAGTTTCAGCTTCAACATCAGTCCTTCCAACGAATATTCAGGACTGATTTCCTTTAGGATTTACTGGTTGGATCTCCTTGCTGTCCAAGGGACTCTCAACAGTCTTCTCCAACTCCACAGTTCAAAAGCATCAATTCTTCAGTGCTCAGCTTTCTTTATAGTCCAACTCTCACATCCATACATGACTACTGGAAAAACCATAGCTTTGACTAGACAGACTGTTGGCAAAGTAATGTCTCTGCTTTTTAATATGCTGTCTTGATTGGTCATAGCTTTTCTTCCAAGGAACAAGAGTCTTTTAGTTTCATGGCTGCAGTAACCATCTGCAGTGATTTTGGAGCCCCAAAAAATAAAGTCTGTCACTGTTTCCACTGTTTCCCCATCTATTTGTCATGAAGTGATGGGACCGGATGCCATGATCTTAGAGTTCTGAATGTTGAGTTTTAACCCAACTTTTTGACTCTCCTTTTTCACTTTCATCAAGAGGCTCTTTAGTTCTTTGCTTTCTGCCATAAGGGTGGTGTCATTTGCATATCTGAGGTTATTGATAGTTCTCCTAGCAATCTTGATTCCAGCTTGTGCTTCATGCAGCCCCTCGTATATGGGGGCAAAAAGACCAGGGACCCTGGAACAAGAGGGCACACAGTTGCTGAAGGAAGGACACTGATGACCAGACCAAGTGCAGTTGCTTTTGGGCCTTCTGGGTCTGGCCACATCTGGTGCAGGGTGCGGGGGGGTTGGGGGCGCTGTGCTGGGCATCACAGAGGACCCCTGCCATTACTCCTGGGTGGATGCTCATCTTCCCATCCCCACGAGACCCTGAAGCCTGTACCTTCAGTCCCCACTCTCAGCTGGGAGCAGTGGAGGGAATAGCTTCTTTTCCAGCCCAGTGAAAGGCCCCAGTTTCCACATTCATCTACACCAATGGGCCAGATGTTAAACTAGTATTTCCCAGAGCATGAGGCCTAGGGTAGAGTTGAGGGAGGCTCACAAAATGATTTTAAGCAATTTTTAAACCTTTGAGTTGTGACCCTTGTGTTGTATGCGTGCTCAGTCGTGTCTAACTCTTTGTGATCCCCTGGACTGTAGCCCACCAGACTCCTCTGTCCATGGGATTTTCCAGGCAAGAATACTGGAGTGGGTTGCCATTTCCTCCTCCAGGGGATCTTCCAGACTCAGGGATCAAACCCATGTCTCCTGCACTGGCATGTGGATTCTTTACCACTGAGCCACCTGGAAAGCCTCTTAATAGCTCATGACTAGCATTAAAAAAATTGAAAAAAGAAGTGGGGAGTGAAATAAAGATGAAATCTAGAGAAAATATGAATAGTAGAAAGGGTCAATAATTTTGTGAAACTTTATTTCCCCATATAAGTATGTGTATGCTGAATCATGAAAGATCTCTAACTATGGGTATGGTTTTTAAAAAATAAAAGGTTAAAGACTGTTTTAGGAGGGATATGAGTGGATTTATTTTTACCTCAGTCATTTTACATTTATTTTCATAGTCTGTGCTAATTCTCCATACACTGCTGATACACATTGAATTTTTTTAGTGAAATTTAATTTCAGTTAGATGTTTATCAATAGAACTAACCATTTTGATTCACATAAATTTGACTAAAATAATAAAAATTGAAAAATTTTTTCAGCAGAACTTAATATTTAGTGAAACCTGAAAGGGAAATTGAATTTCACTGAAAATTTAAAGTAAGTCTAGTTGGGTTTCCCCGGTGGCTCAGATGGTAAAGAATCTGCCTGCAATGCAGGAGATCCCAGTTCAATCCCTGGGTTGGGAAGATCCCCTGGAGAATGGAATAGCAACCCACTCCAATATTCTTGCCAGGAGAATCCCATGGAGAGAGGAGCCTGGTGGGCTACAGTACATGGGGTTGAAAAGAGTCAGACACAACTGAGCGACTTTCACTCACTCACTAGTTAACTAAAGGGGCTTCTCTGGTAGCTCAGTGGTAAAGAATCCACCTGCCAATGCAGGAGATGTGGGTTCAGTCCCTGGTTTGGGAAGATGCCCTGGAGAAGGAAATAGCAACCCACTCCTGTATTCTTACCTGGAGAATACCATGGATTCAGGAGCCTGGTGGGCTGCGGTCCATGGGGTTGCAGAGTTGGACATGACTGAGAGACTCAAGAAGAACAGTCAAGTCAAAACACGAGTTGGACTGGTGCTTCCTCCTTGTGGGGGTCCAGGAAACACTGCATTAGAGAGAGTAACTCCACAAACTCTTGTGGGGTGATGTGAATTCCCTACTGGGGGGCACTCAGGAGCTTCCAGCTCTGGACTGAGCTCTCTCCCCCGGCAGTGATGCTGGCTGGTGGCTGGGGCCGACGTTCTGATGGGGCTTCTGTGTTTCAGGAACCTGGCCAACTGTGAGCGCCTCATTGAGGTGGAGGACATGATGGTGATGGGCCGCAAGCCGGACCCCATGTGCGTCTTCACCTACGTCCAGTCTCTGTACAACCACCTGCGTCGCTTTGAGTGAAGCCCCTTGGGGCTGGAAAGCCAGCCCCCAGAGGAGACAGTGAGGCCGCTGGTGTCCCCAAGTCAGGAGGCCCCCTTGAGCAGAGCTACCCTCTGGTGTGAGAGCGCTGTCTGTGCTGAGTGACAGCGCTCCCCACCTGCCCGGCTGCATTACTGATGGAAAGTACCACTGAACTGCACTCCGACTCATTACAGCCAAGGGCTCCAAGGAAAAGGAAGTATTACTGGAGAGAGAGAGAAATTGGTGCTAAGTAATTCTCTTCCTTAAAAAAAAAAAAATGCTTGTCTCTAGATTCCAGAAGCCTGAATCACAATGTTCCTTCTGCTGAACTGGATCCATTGGCTTTACAGAGTTGCATTGATTACAAAGTGTTGTTTGTTTTTTTTTTTTTATCAGAATAGCCAGAGTTTTCTACTTCCCCCCACTATTGTAGGTTCCTTTCCTTCCTCGCTCTGGGCCCCTGCCAGGAAACAGAGAGACGTATAATCAGCAGCTTGACAAGGGAGACTGAAGTCTTGGGAAGAAACGGTTAATCACTCCCGGGTCCTGGGCAGCAGATGACCTGCTTGTCACCTCCGCTCTCTGGGGAGAGGGGAAGGCTCTCGCCTGGTCCTGTCCTTCCCAGGAGGGCCCCACAAGTGTTTGGCTAAGAATAGGCTCTTGGGAAGTTAACACTTTTGGGGAAGGACAGGCCCTTGTTGCTGTGAGGTGGTTTTTATTCACAGCTTTTTTTTGGGGGGGGGATTTGCTGCAGATATTTATAAAAAGTAACTCCATCTGTACCATTGACTGTTTGTACATAAAATGATGTGTCTCACCTCGCTTGAGATTTGTTATTTCATCTGGGAATAAGAGCTTTCACATACATGCCAAAAGAAAATCTACTTAAACCCGCTCCCCACCCCCTGCCGCCGCTCCCCGCTTAATTGTTTCTGTACCAAAATCACCACCCAGAAAGTTGAAAATCATATTTGCTTTTTTTGCATTTGCCTGTTGGTCACCCATCTCCACATCATCGAAGGAGCATGGACAGAAAGTACCCCCCGTTACAGTTCTGTGTCCTGGAAGTTGAGTGACAGATCTGTGAACAGCGGCAGGGTGGTCCCACACATGGGGGAGTCCATTGAAGGGCACTGGTTTATTTTCACAGCTGTTTGATTGTAAAAAAAAAAAAAAAAACTGTTAGGTTTTTAGTAAGACATCTTTAGATTCTATAAAGGCACAGCCATTAGCTTATTCTTACGAAAGAAGCATTTTCTAACTGGGTTGGATTTTAGCCATGAACTTGGAGAATTTCCCTGTAAGGAGCTAGTATGTGTCTTCAGCTTATGCAGTGGGTTCTAACCATCAGTATCTGGATGCCTTCTCAGAGTCACCTGTGGTCCCCTGTGTTGGGGGTCAGAGCTCTTTGGGGGTGTTGTGAGGAACATGATAGAGCTTGCCAGCGGGGTGATAAATAGTCTTAGCAGATTTATTTGTTCAGAGCTGCCCCACTCAATCACTCAGTTGTGTCCAACTCTTTTGCGACCCCGTGGACTATAGCCCACCAGGCTCCTCTGTCCATAGACTTTTCCAGGTAAGAATACTGGAGTGGGTAGCCATTGCTTTCTCCAGGGGATCTTCCTGACCCAGGGATCAAACCCGGGTCTCCTGCATCGCAGGCAGATTCTTTACCATCTGAACTGCCAGGGAAGCCCCTGTTTGTTCAGGCTGAAGTCTTATTCCATCCTCTCAGTTCTCCCCCAGTGGGAACCAGCCCCTGTCCAGCTCCAGAAGGTGAGCCCTATTATTAGCAAAGACACTGTGCCTGGTCTTTTTTCGTACCAAAGCTTAGGGTTTCAAACCTAAAGCCAATCTGGGATCACAGGGGCTCTATAAAAAGCACGCCTATACCGTACTGAGTCCTTGCACATGTTAAATGGAACTCTCCTGATTTGCAGACGTGGCCTTGCACCTCTGCACATAAAATAGAGCAGATCCTTCTGGAGAAAGGAAGAACGCCTCTTAAACTAAGCAATGGTGTTTCTCTTGTCTCACATTCAGTCATAGAGACTAGGTGTTTTTAAAGTGGGTTCTGTGATGTTCTTATCTGTGGTTTGTGGGGAGGGGCAAATGAGGGCTCATAAGCTTTAAGGGGTTTTAAACTTGATTACCTCCAAGACAAAGCCTGAGGGTTCCCAGGGAAGATGGAGGGGGATGGGGGCTGGGAGAGGGGGATGAAGGGGCATGCAAGCAGGCCACACAATCTCAAGACATTTGGAAACCATCGTTTTGCATCAGGGTTACATGGAAAATTCCCATTTGTGAAATTGGATTTTGAATCACCTTCTGCCATGATACAAATGGTTTCACATGTTTTTCCCCCCGCCATCTCTCCTGAGAGAATTATTTCTCAGAGCTGCCTGTGAGATTCTTCCTGCTTTTCCAGATAGATCCCTTCACCTGGATTTTGTTAAAACTTATTAAGTCTGAACCAAATTGGCTTGTGTGCATTTCCCTGAAGGGGATGTGTCACCAGAGCCAAGACGGGTTTTAGCTTTTCTGACAGCTGATGGAGATTTTTTTTCAAGGCAAGTGAGAGCTTTATAAGCACTTTTTGAACATGATCCTACACAGGCTGGTTAGAGGAGAGTTTTCAGGCCAGGTGTTCAGGGGAACAGTCTGTGAAGGCCAGTGAATTTCGCAAATGTGTTCAGTGACTAAAAGTTCTCAGCTTTCCTGACTGCAGTGGTCAGCACTCTGTTGCTGGAGGAAACACACACATAGAGGATGTTTTCTGCCATCCCAGGTCTGTGTGACTCCAGATAATGGGATGATAGTTTAGTCGCTCAGTCGTGTCCAGACCCTTGCGACTTCATGGACTGTAGCCCGCCAGGCTCCTCTGTCCATGGGATTCTCCTCCCGGGCAAGAATACTGAGTGGGTTGCCATTTCCTTCTCCAGGGGACCTTCCTGACCCAGGTATTGAATTGGGGTCTCCTCCATTGCAAGCAGATGCTTTACCAACTGAGCTATGAGGGAAGCCCCAGACAATGGGATGGCAGACTAACTGTGCTGAGTTGGTCAGTTTTAAGCAGAACATTGAGCCACCCAGCAGAACCCACTCTGAATTGGGTTTCTCCAGCTGATGACTGGTGACCAGCTCATTCTGATGAATGGATCACGCCAGTTGAGATGGACGTGTTTCCCCTTTGCTCCCCTCCCCAAGCCATGCTCTCACACCCACACGTCATCCCCTTCAGCTGAATGATGAATGTTCTTGGGAGGGTTATTACCCATCTTATCTCTCTCTCTTTTAAGATTTGGTTTAGGCTTGCTTTTAGAGCCTTTGATCTCTTATCGCTTGGTTCTTGGACTTGATTTGACATCAAGCAGCCCTCGTTGTCCTTTGTCAGAGCACATTAAACACGCCTAGGCCTGCCCCTTCCCTAGAAAGCACGAAACAACAACAAAAAACACACCTGGGAAGGATGGGACCAAGAATGCTGTGCTCTCTGGGGTATCCAGGCAGCCCCAGTGGGAGGGAGACTGTGCAACCTGATGCAATAACAAACTGATGGAGGCCTGGGATCAGTAGCACCCTTGATATGGATGGTGATACCCCAGAGATGCCAAACAACATTTGGGTCCAACTCAACTCTCTACCTGGGTCCCTTGAGTTGATCCAGTGCTGTCACATAGGCAAGGGGCAAAATCTATATTTTTCACAAGCCAAATATTTCATCACTCACAGTTGCAAGTGTCCTTGGTGTGTTCTGTATCTCAGTTTGGTATGTGTTTTCCTGGCCCCCTCTTCCTGGCATCCATGACCTTACCCAGACTCACAGGTCCCCCTGCTTCTCTAGCTGTTTCTTCCCAGTCTCCACTGTGACCTCCTTTCCCCCTGTCCATTACTCCCCTGTTCTGCGTCTTATACCCTGTACCCCATCTTCTGCATCAGGGGCTCATAACCCAGGACCGGCATGGCCTTTGGGAGTCTAGATGTCCAAATTGAATGCTTTCCCTTCTTTTCCCCTCTAAAACAGGCTCCTTCTTCGGTATTTATTCAAATACAGCAAACAGCAGCATGATCACTCCCCACTGTCCATGCCAGGGACCTGAAAGCCACCTTGTCCCTGAGCATCGCGGACTGACTGCCCAAGCAATTCTCCTACTTCCTTTCACATATTGTAAACCAGGCATTTGCAAAACTCTTACTAGTGGAGCCTCATGATTTCTACCAAGTGTCTTGAAGCATCAGAGCTATTAGTTTTCCCCAAGGGTTTATTTTGCTAATCCTCAAATTTACAGAAAACTTGAAAGAAGTGTTCAATGAACATTGTTTTCCTTTGCTTTGTAAACATTCTGCCTTGTTTGTGGTCTGTCTCCCTTTTTCTGAGCCATTTGGAAGTAAGATACAGACATCATGACACTCAGCCCTAAATACTTTAGCGAATGTCTCCCTAGAGTAAGGGCATTCTCCTACATGAGCACGATAATGTTAGCACACCTGAAAAATGGAACATTTATATAATCTACACTCGACATTCAAATTTCCCTAATTGTTTCCACATGCCTTTTATGGCTGTTAAAAACTCTTAAAAATCCAGGATCCAGTGAAAGTTCACACACTGCATTTGGTGGTTATGTCTCTTTAATTGCTTTGCATCTAAAACAGTCCCTCCACTTTTTGTTTACTGTCAATTTTTCACTCAACTCTTTTTTTATTGGAGTATAATTGCTTTACAATGTTGTGTTAGTTCTGTGGCACAACAAAGTGAATCAGCTATCCACATACATATCTCCTCTCCTTTTTGAGCCTCTCTGCCAAACCACCACCATCCTAGAGCTTCTCAGGTGGTTCAGTGGTAAAGAACCTGCCTGACAATGCAGGAGACGCAAGAGATGCGAGTTCAATCCCTGAGTTGGGAAGATCCCCTGTAGGAAGAAATGACAACCCACTCCAGTATTCTTGCCTGGAACATTCTATGGACAAAGGAGCTGGCGGGCTGCAATCCATGG